GTCCAATCAATATTCTGAATCCAAAGAGTACAAACTAATGGTTTCAATTTCTACAGTTTTGAAGTCATTTCATTTTGCCCTATAGCCCACATGATATGCAGAAATCTAGCATTTTTCTCAAAGTATGTTAAGATAAAACAATTTTTGTTCAGAAGTCAGAAAAGTGATCTATATAGATCTTCATTGTGTAATCTCTAGAGGTTGTTGTTGTGGTGGTTGTAAGTCTTTTCTTGTCTCCTCATTATTCTTTCAAATTAACCAGCTGCATACACAGTCTTAGCATTGTTTCATACTCCAGTAAATATCTTGATAATTAGGAGTAGAAAACATTGGATGCTGATTCTTAGGTAATAGTAAGCACATTTGTGTTGCCCTTAACACATGTCACCCAGCTAGCAAATAGATTTCAGTTTATTAAGAAGAATTAAGATAAGGGTGACTTTCAGTTAAAGCATGTATAAAGAATTGGAAGCTTGAGCTTTGTATAATACCTATATCGTCACAAGGGTTGACAAATTACGATGCGAAGGAGGACTTGCAATAACATAATTAACATCAAATGTATTTTCAATAATCCACAATGAGACAGCAAAGACCAATTGATTAAGCTTGACAAATGCCTCTTAATTATAAATTATTGAAGCTGTTGCTGTCTTTGAGTCCTCCATGCACTTTATGTAAAATGTTGCTCAAAGACGCTACAAATGGACGCAGTTGCTGAGCTCATACCAGTCTCAAGTCTCTCTGCCCCATCCTTCAAGTCATCAACAATGGTCAAACTCCTTGTTATTGTTTTTTCAAATTTGATGGCAGCAAAAGAACATAACATAACAAGTTTCTTCTAGCACCTTGTTGAATATCCATCCCACTTGGTGTCAGAAAGCTCATTATTTACCGCTGGTTAAGGGTAAGTACACTGGGGATTCGAACTTAGAATCTCTCCTGAGGTTGGGAAAAGAAATACCATTAGACTAATAGCTAGTTGGTGACAATGGTATCACATTAACATTTTCCAGTTTTTCCTCTACTACAAAGAACACACAAAAAAGGAAATGGGGATTCCGAGAATTGAACTCGGGACCTTTCGCTCCCTAAGCGAGCATCCTACCACTGGACTAAATCCCCTGAGTTAACTGTATGTTGCATAAAAAGCCTGAAATTGATGATAGGATGTGGTCCTCCATTTTTGGCAATTAGCTCAACACCTCTGCAGTGAGCTACAATCCAAAAATTATCAGCAAAAACCGAGCAGTAGGTGTTGAATTTCATTACTGCAATTCCATGAGGTAACTTTGTCTGTTTTTTACTTCTTGTATGGACCATTGAGATTTACAGCTCCCTAGCTGGTGCTATTGTACTGATTTTGTACCATCCGTATCTTAGAAATATTACAATATCATGAAGTCAATTGGCACGTGCGAACTTTGACTTTATATACAAAAAGTCTTTGGCGTGTGTTAGGTACCGTACATGGCAAATGGTATTCTCCGGAGGGCCAAGGAGTTGGAAGTTGATGGTGTCACAGAATTTGACCCCGTAGATTTTGCATATCAGAGAGAATACAGAGTTGGTAATGCCAAGCCAATTTGCCCTACAACGTAGACTCGGATAGTTTAATCGTTTAGCCAAAACTCATATCAATGTCATATTTCTCAAACTCGAATATGAGCAAAATTTTATTAATCCAAGTCAACCAGGTTCTTAATTATCTTGGGTGGGTATTGAGTAGTTGGTAGGGACAAGAATAAGTAACACAAATAAGAGTATAGGTCTAAATCTCATACATTATTCATTTGCATATGCATGTTGTGCATTGTTTGGTCATGATTTTTTGGTAAAAGTGAAGATATTTTAAAATGTATATAATGGAGCCATATATATACATTATACATATATCTATAGCTACTCCTTGTTGATGGATCGCAAATATGCGTAGTAGGTACGAAATGCAATGATAACCCTCATGCTGACACTTGGTTCGATAATGACCAAGCTCTCTCAAATTGTCAACCAAAAGAAAAACACAAAGCATAAAAGAAAGAGCAAACATGACTAGACCAGTTAGTTAAGACAATGTGTCCGTCCCTTTATACAAAGGAGGTATGTAAACTTATACTTAAATACTTTAATATACTCATTACGGTGTCACATAATAATATACAACTCGATTTGATTACCGAAGTATAGTTTTTGCAAAAAAATTTTAAACTTAATTAATAAGAATTGAGGGAGGGAGTTGGTTCTAATTATCATTAAAAGGAAACTTCTCATAAATTTAATAGGGTCTAGCCTAGTTAAATCTTGATTTGTAGATCAATGACTTCATGTTCAAATTTTTATGGCACGTTGGTAGTGCGTGTGAGAAATCCTCCTCCCCTTGTATTTTATGGCTTATATTCAACATGTTTGTGTATGGGTGTAACGTATAGCCCATATGGGAAGCACACAAGTGGGTGTAACACGTAGCCTGTAAGCCCATATACATAGCTCTCTCCTCACGTGTAACACAACTAAGCTCTCGTCATTTTGCACTTCTTTACCTTCATATAGTAAAAACTCAAAGCAACAGATGGTGAGTGCTTATAAAAAAAAAAAAAAAACAGATGGTGAGTGTCGCTCGAATTGAGTGAATCAAGTTAATTTTGTGGTATTTGTTTATGATCGTGTAGTTTTATGGTTTTACTCTTGTCGACCAAAAATTGGCATTAACGGTTTGGTACTAGATATCTTTTTAAAAAAAATTTGGGGGGGGAGGTCCAGTTCGGTTTATTTTTTAGGCTTAAATATTCACAAATGATCCAATTTCATGCACAGAGAGATGATTGGGCCTAGAAAAGAAAGGTACTTTGAAGTTGGGCTTGGGGAGTTATGAAATTAAAAATTTAGCATTGGATTTAAAATATTTTTTTTATTTAAAAAAAAATATGCAGGTAGTTTGGTCTGATCCGGTCTGGTTTTGTAAGGTGTGAAATCGGCATTGGAATTGGTCTGAACCAGTCTGATCTGGTAAGGTGCTGGTTTGTTAACTTTTTAGTCAACACGATTTTTTTCTAGTTTTTTCAATCTAGTGCGGTTCGATGTTCTCGTTTTCCGATCTCGATGCTCGCCCCTAGTGTGTAGGCTCCTCTTGGACAATTTTGAAACCCACAAGTGGAAAAGGCCCAAACTTGTGCCTATATAAGTGCTCTCTCCGTTAGTCAAGTTGCTACCATTGAAAAAAAAAATTATACAAGCAATATTAAGAGAGGAGGAATCAAACCTAGAACCATCGGTTCAAGAATAAAAGCTCTTCACCGCTTGACCTACAAGCCTTTTGCAGGTCCTATCCATTTAATCAAATAAACTTTTCTTCTTTATGTCTTCCCTCCAAATTACATTGCCACATCCCAAAACCAATATTGACATAAAAGCCCATCACTTTCTAAAAGCTCACCTTGGCAAAAGTCTCTTAATTATAAAGTATTGAAGCTGTTGTTATCTTTGAGTCCTCCATGCACTTTATGTAAAGTATCGCATAAAGACTCTGCAGATGGCGGCAGATGCTGAGCTCGTCAGACCTCAACCCTCTATGCCCCATCTCCTTCAAGTCATCAACAATTGTCAAACTCTCCTCGTCATTAAGCCTTTTAGCACCCAAAATATTGTTGAATATCCATTAATTCCACTTGGTACCACGCATGGAGTTCTTGTTCCAAAGGTAACCTATGCTTCGTAGCTCTAAGGCCATCTCGAATGCATGGGGACTAAACCTAAAATTTGGGATTTTAGCCCGAAAACTCTCCCAACGCGGATATAGGAAGGCTAAATTACTACCCAGCTGGTTTTTCAGGCAGAATTTGGGACCATTTAGCAATCCAGGCAATAATTTTTGTGAGGCCCAAACTGAACCCACTTGAAGGAACAGGCACATCATGGCTAGAAGTCATCCACTTTCGCTTATTAAAACTGGACACATGGCATGCGTTGGAGCAATGACCGTTTGCATCCAATGGTTGTATTTGAACTTGCTCCTTTTGTTTTTTTTATCATTTATTTTCAAATGAAATAATTTTATGTTTGTGTTTTTTACTATGCTCGTGTGCTCATTTTCAAGTGGAATAATTTTATGGTTGTATTTGAACTTCCTCTTGGTTTTTTTTACTATGCTCCTGCACTCATTCTCATTTTAAGTGAAATAATTTTATGTATAAATGTTCAGAAAAATAAATCATAAAGTTATCTATAAAAATTAACCCCCCCAAAAAAAAAAAAAGTTAACCGTTTTTAAACAATTTAATAAAGTTGCAAACTTGCAGAGTTTGGGAAAAAATGTGTTTGAGTCCAGGCAATACTTGAATAGTAGTATTTCGATATGGAAAAATTTGGGTTTGAGTCCTTTAGGATTGGAGATGGCCTAACCATTTCACAATATTGACATGTGCCTGGCTCTTATATTTTGGCATATTTACATTTAACATTTTGCAGTTTTTTCACTACTGCAAAGATCATAAAAAGGAAATGGTGATTCCGAGAATTGAACTCAGAGAAATGGGGATTCCGAGAATTGAACTCGGGACCTTTCGCTCCCTAAGCGAGCATCCTACCACTGGACTAAATCCCCTGAGTAGTCCGTATGTTGCCAAAAAAGATTCAAATTGACGATAGGATAGGATGTGGTCCTCCATTTTTGGCAATTAGCTACAATCCAAATTTTATCAGCAGAAACCAGGGGTAGGTCTTTAGTTTCCCTCCTGTCAAATGCCATGAGTAACTGCGTTATTGTCTCTTTTTGACTGGTGGTATTGACCATTGAGATTTCTAGCCTTTTATGCTGTAAATTAGAAGTCTGTCACCGAGCAATAGATGGCTATATGAAAACATTATTGCAACACGGCCCAAAACACCTCAAACATCTTAAGCCATTTAAATTTCAGAGGTCAACGCAAACGTAGATTGCCTAAATTGTCCAGTATTTGCCACTATTCATGTCAAACAAAATGTTTGATGGTCCGGTGTACAAATTCGATCAAATATTCAGATACTTTATACATCTATGCCTTTATAGTTTCTACATCAAATACACTAAAGCCAGACTTTAATGTTGTAAAGAGGTTCTTACAAATACTCATATGCTTTTCACATTCTAAGAGCCAAAGCATAAGCCTGACATATAAACAGATGTTCCTGGCTAACATACCCAGCAGAGGCCCAAAATAAAATAAAATAACGAATAACGAAATAGGTTCAATTGTGTAAAATTTGTAAGTATAATGCGTCATTATCCTCTCAGGATATAGCTTTAATAACAATTAATTTATATACATGCCCTTCAAACGAGACCTTGGTTCAGCTTCGATCTCAGTACCGTTGTGATCTCAACCAAATTACTAAAACCTGTAAAAGACAGCCAAAGCAATTGCTTTATTAGTGTCACAAAACAGTAATAGCATACAAGTGTAGTTGAAAAAAGAAAAAGAAAAAACTCACATTCTGGTCGTGCCATCATGGCTCCGGCTGGTGTATGATGAAGCCCCTTCCAGGCAAAAGCCACTCTAAAGTGCATTATCCGGCACTTCTCAAAGAGCATTACCATTTCACAGCAGTATACAAAGGGTACCTTAAATATGAACCAAGGCATAATATTACACTATTAGCCTTAATATACTTTTAAACCAGTGGTGGCCTTACACTGCAAAATCTACGCTTCAATTTATTTTCCTCTTTGGCTAAGTCCTGGCTAACATACAATGCAAGAAGTGAATCAACTGCACAAGCTGGAATTATTTCACATTCATTGCAGCAGCCATATTCCTTAGCTTCTGAGAGATTTCAGAAAATGATGGCCTCTGAGAAGGCTCAGAGGCCCAACAACTTTCCATCAAAGATTTCCATTCAGGATCACACCAAGTGGGAATTTGAGGACGCAATGTGTTGTTCACAATTCCCCCTGCAAATACGACAAAGAAACAGATTGCAGAACAAAATTAAATGTTATGTATACTTGGCTGGAATGGTTCAAATTGTGGATGACATACGATAATGAATGCCTAGAAAAATAGGCTGATTGAAAGCATGCAAGCAATTTAATTAAAAATCTTAAGCATGCCAACAGGACTTTGTAAGAGATGTTGTCACATAATAAATCATGGACTAATGTCTGGATGGAGACAGCAAGATGACTGTAGTCAAACAATGCAAAATTGCCAATAGAAAAGGATAAGGACAGCTTTCTTTTTCCTCCTATGCATATACACATACAATTTAGAGTTTACATGTTAATCCGTGTAGTGTTAAACATGTTACAACAGCAATGTATAACGTATCAAAATGGACAGTGGAAAGAAAATATAATAGTGACTACCAAGTCTGAGATGATATTACTACCAGGTCAGAGAAACAAAACATGAAAACAAATTGCAAAGAATATAGTTGGTAAATAAGGTTAAGAGTGTCAAACCAGCTGAAATGTTTTATAAATGCCAAGGGTAAGTAAATAGTCTTAAAAACTACAGAGCAATCTTTAAGAACAAATCAACATTCTTCAATTATTGTAACCCAAAAGCAATGAATGAAAAGTCCAGCAACAAATGGAAATCTACTTCGTAGTGTCAAGCAGTTGTATATATGAAGTGAGTCAAAAACAGAATTCAGCTAGAAGATATGAATCAAAATGTGATCCCATATGAGCTAGCATTAAACACAGATGATCTGTAGCTAAGGTTATAAGTAACTTCTCGGAGATTGATGTTGTTTTATTAAATAAATGATGACAGTGACCTCACCTTTTGAACAAAATGGAGGGAAGCAGAATATAAGCCTACAAATTATTGGTTCTTACCAATTATAGAAGCACAATGCATATCCGTATATGGCTCATCCCCCGTAAGGAGTTCCCACATAACAATTCCAAACGAGTAAACATCAATCTACAACATTGAAAATGACAACACATGAAATAACAAACTAAAGACTAATATACTAATCATTCTTCTGAGAGGACCAAAAACTTCTACATATGTGCCAAGTGTAGCATCACTTGCCTTTTCTGTTACCATGTTACTTTTCCCACTAAGAAGTTCAGGTGCCATCCAAGGCAAAGTTCCACGAACACCTCCAGACACTAAAGTGTGCTGTTTTACTTTCGATAATCCCAAATCACCAATCTAAAGAACATGCACATAATGTGAGTTCCCAACACAAAGCATGCTTAGAAAAAGAGTAATGGAGCTGGAAACTAAGAGTCGAAAGGAGGTGACAGATCTGTATTTAAATCAGCCAACCTTACATACAGGCCGCTGTGGATCTCTCATATTTACTAAAAGATTTTCACACTTTAAGTCAAAATGTACTATATTTCTCCCGTGCAGATACTCCATTCCAAATGCAGCATCCATAGCAATGATCAATCTTTTACGACGATCAATTGTTCTGATCAATGATATAATGAAAAGATTTATCATATGCTTGAGTGAAGAATAAGACCTTCAAATATAGAAATTGAGAAGAGAACAATAGAACAAATTAGAAATGTTGCTTCCTAGAAAATACACTAGATACCTGTCTTTTTTCTGCAAAAACTGTTTCAAAGATCCATTAACCATGAATTCGGTCACTGTTGCTAACGACCCATCAGGACCGTCACGCACAATACCATAGAAAGAAACAACATTTGGGTGATGCAATGAACCAAGTATCAAAGCCTCCTTCCAGAAATCTGCAATCTGTCACAGCAACAAAGAAAACCTTGTATTTCATAGCCACAGATAATAATAATACACAGAATTAAATACTATTTCCGGAAGTATAATTTCTCTCCGGACAATTTCATTTCAATGACAGAAGTTCTAAAAAGTGAATAATATGTAATAACCATGATGACTACACCTATCATGCAGTCACTGTTTTTTTTCTCTCTGTGGCACTAATTTGCAGGAACCAGAATATCATCTAAAATGTCAGAACTAACAATATATCAACAAACCACAAACTGGGGAAGCAAGGCAGTGTTCTGTAATAGGTCAATAGCAACTGTAATAATCTAGATTGGAAAAGTGCAAAGATCCTACCAAGCGTTCTCTTTCTGATGGTCTCCCAGCAAAACAGCTGGATTTTATTCTCTTTATCGCTACGTCAGACCCCTTCCACTTCCCATGAAAAACAGCCCCATAAGTTCCAGAACCCAATTCTCGAATCTCCTCTAGATCATCATTCTTTATTGTCTGTCCAAAGAACAATCATACAGTTTAAAGAAAACCACACGAAAGACCAAGACAAATAGTATGGGAAATAATGAGGATAAGCCAATGATGACTGTAGGATTTAAGAAATACATAAGATTGAAGCAAACAGACCTGCAATCCCTTGGAAATAGCTTCTGCCTCAGCCTTCGTTGGCTCAATTTTGGAATTGTTCAGATAATCGTTATCAGAATCCAATTCCCCATCTCCAGGAGTGTTCTATAACACAACAGTGCATTAAGAAGAGAAAACAGATAACTACAGAACAATTTCTCATTTTAGATATTTAACTCAGTTCTCACCACTCGCTCCAAATTGTTTGCAGCTGCTTCTTCGGCTATTGAACTATCCTTCTCAGGATCTCCACTTTCTTTAACATTGGCTTTCACCTCCTCAGCCTCCTCTAATGCAGCTCTTTTTACAGAAGCCATCAACTCAGGTATGAAACTCAAATGGCTAACAGAAAGCTTTGGAACTTCAGGAGTAGAATGATCATTGTCACTAGTTTTGACAACATCACCACTTACTTCAGTAAGCTTAGGGAAATTTGAATTTATCAACTCAGGAGATACCATTTCATAATTTTTATCGGAAAATTTGTTCTGACTTATACCCTGCATGTCAGAGTTCTCTAGCTTCTCCACAAGATTTACCTCCTTTTCTTCTCCAGGCAAACTTTCTCCCCCCAACCTCACAACTCCAGTAACGGGGTCTAAAGGAATAGCACAATTTAGCATATCAGGTGTGGGTTGAGTAGGGTCTGAAGGAAATGGAGGATGATTTTCCTGACCAAGTGTGTTTGGATTAAACTTCAAAGTGTGGCCATACGAATAGTCCGGAACAACTTTTCCATCGAAACCTAACATTTGCTGCGAGGAGTCAGCCCAAATATTTTGATTGTCTACTGTAAGGCCAAACCTTGGACTATCCTCATGCCTGAGAAATCCTGGGTTAACAGTACCATTCACTTGTGGAGCAGAATTGGACGCTTCGTAAGAGGGCGCAGCATGCATTGGGCTCTGAACATTTCTCCATACTGCAGGTCCAGGTACATGTCCATGAGACACCGGGTAAGAACTATCTCCTCCATAGGCATAAGGAGGATTCCCATAACGAACCCCACGCTCTTCTGGAGGAGCAACGTGTACATGGGGTGGAGCAGGCACAGGTCGGTCATGAAATACTTCATTTCCAATTTCAGGTGCAACTCGCTGATGAACATAATTTGAAGAGACGTGATGGCCATCAACCATATTACTAGGACCATGAGGCAAATTCATGCTGGGACCATCTACAATGTAGTGATCATTCAATTTCCCAGCTCCACAGACATGTGGTCTTGCTTCCTCAGTCCGACAATTCAAATGATGATGTGGAATCCATCCTCTTTCATGATTTGGAGTCTCATTATAAAGAGATGGAGGACCATTATTCTGTTCACTTGCGTATATCTCATGGTGCAACTTTGCATCTGAATTCATTATGAAACTTTCTCTATGTGGAGGACACTCATTGCTTGGGTTAGCAACCTGGTGAAATCCATTCACCATGTTGGATTGCTCAAAATGTGGTTGGTTTCTCTGGAAATTCATCCGGCAATGCTCACAAATACTGTTTCCTTCGAGAACATTGGTTCCATGAAAGATGTTACCAGGAAAGCCAGACTTTTCACCAGATATAGCTCCACTTGGAAGCCACACAACATTCTCAGTATATTGTGTTTGGTGTTCATATGCAGGCTGATGATTCAATGGCTGTCGTGCATATTCTTCAGGCATTCTATCTAAACATTTATCAGGTAAATCTGGAAATGGAATACGGTACCGTGCAGAGGAAGGAGAAGATGGAAATTCTGGCATTGGTCTTGGATCAAGATGCCCATGATGCCTAGGAGAATAGTATGCAGGACTCCAAGGAGCTTCCATTTCGTTATACCTCTGAGTAATCGGTTGATGGTGTTGCCCTGATCCTATATGAGGTATCTTGAGGTGATGCAAGTTATATTGAGGTGCGGACATATCACAACTTCTCTGAAGGCCACCCTCAAGACTTATTGGGCTAAAAAACTGTTCAGCTATATGGATATCATCAACTGGATTAATAAAAGGGGACTCAGGATGCTGCTTCCTAAAGTCGGAACCATCATTTAAATTATTGAGAGCATCGACATACCTCCTCTCATTATCCCTTTCATCTCCCTCATAGTGTGATGACCCATCTTGGTCCGGATGCGAAAACAGAAAAATCCTGAGCCTAGTGAAACCATCACCAGAGCCCAGCTTATCATACTCTTCCATCATATTAGTCACATCATCATCGTTCACAACCGATACAAGTGCGTCAAGATCTTCATCAGGTTGCTGGTACTTGAGCACTGCTGCCCCTTCATAAAGGTCCCTCATCTTGTTCATCAACTCCTCATACTTAATATCTCGTGGAACACTCACAATTCGTGTCTCTCCACCCACATACCGGAGCTTCCCATCTTGTGGGCGAGGCAATATACTACCCGAAAAGCTACATAGAAATTTAACACGTGGGCTCTCCTCATTCCAATTAGGGCTCGAAACAGCGGTGGAATTAGAACCAAAGTGAGGGGTAGCGGAAGGGCTATCCATCAAGTACACAGCTTGATGAGGGTGTTGCTGATCAATTGGGTTCTCAGACTCGCTCAAGCACGCAATTCCTTTATTACACATGAGTAACACTCACACCATATATATTTCAAATTTTGAAGATTTGAACCGATAATTATAAGCATGTTCTTCAACTTCACTAACCGAAATTGAGAAATCCTCCATTTATAACAACTCCATCAAAACCACACAAAACCATCATATTTCCGAACACCTATCACGGCCACCATCGCAACAATCGCCAAGACCAAAAAAATAAGATCAAAACAACCAAATTTCATCCAACAGCCAATCAAAATCACACCACCACACCCCAAAAGTCCCAAACTTTATCAAACTAGATCCAAACTGAATACCCAGATCAACAATTTCCCACAGAAACAAGAATTGGGTACCTGAAAATGGGGAAACTGGGCAATCCCAGATGCTAAAACTCAATACCCAATTGAAAACAGACCCCCAAGGAATCTTCTGTGCCACTTAGACGCGTCTTCAGCCCCCTCGGCCTTAGTTGCGAGCCTACGATCAAGCAGAGCAAATAGAGTTGGAGAGGCGTGGAAAGCAAGAGTAATTTAGGCTCTGTGAATGAGGTGAAGAAGATGATGGTGATGATGAAAGGGGAAGGAGATGAACGTGAAGATGAAGGACCGCCATAGGCGTAGTGGCTTGGTTCGCTTGGCTTTGGGTCAGATGCGATGCCTGCTTGCCAGGTAGCGTGCCACGTGGCACCACCTGATTTTCGCGTTCTCCTCTAGCATCTTATTTATCTCCTCAGGAATTTGGGATATGCCTTGAGTTGAGCCTACATCACGTGCGCTGCAACCTGCGACATTTAATACAATCGACAGTCTAAATTATAAATGAATGAAGATTTTTTACATACACTATCAACATGTCATGAAATCCGAATATAGAACTATTGTTCTGCAATTTAAAGACTTTTTTAACTGGGTTAGACTCGTTAGCAAATAAAAGCTTTTTAAATTTCTAATATTGTGAAGAAAAATCTTCTACATTTCATTGCAAATGTTCCCATCCATTGATGTAAAAAGATTTTTATATCATGGAAGTGAAGTATTTGTTTGTTTCTTTGAGAGAAAAGGGGATTTCATTCATAACCCAAAAATTTTATACAGAGATCCGCACGAAACAGATTTTTGTACGATTACCCAATTGATGCAATATCATACTACTGATAAGAAACTGATTTTTATACAAGAAGGTAAAAAATATAAATTATGTATTCCTCGCATTAAATATGTGTTGAGGCCCAAAAAATCCAAGGCTAAACCCAAATATATTTATAACCCAGTACAACACCTAACTTGGGAAGAAATTCAACTTGGGTATGCAAGAATTCATCATATGCGCTTGCACACATGCCACACCAAGAAAATAAGCAACACGCCACGCTAGAAGCTTAAGTGAGCCCAACCCATGCAAATGTCTGGGGCTTGCTGAGCGGGTTGTGGTATGGATGATTACGAGTATTCATGAGGCCTATTGATGGTCCAAGGAGTGGAAGTTTTGAGCTACTTAGGAGCATCAAAACTCAAGCCGATTGACAGGACCCGCCCCAAATTTCCTCGGAAACCGGGACGGACCCCATCTAATTACCGACATCACCCCGATGTCGGGCTCACTTACTAAAGACCGAGACTTTTACCAAAAATTTGGCAGAGTCTCCCCTGTAAATTGAACATTTCTCAAACTTCAATCTGCTCAAAGTTTACAATTAATAAACCCAACCAGCAGCATGCTTTAAAAGCAGTTAAAAAATTTACAACAAAGGCCTTCGGCCTCACAATTCAAACCCCAAGCGGGCGATACAAAGCATATCTAAGAAATTCAAATACAACATAAACAAAGTTCTACTGGAAAAGAAAGATGAATGAGTCCCTACAAAGACTCAAGGTTCCGAAGCACCAGATCTGGCTCGACTGCGAAGCTCAGTCACTACTGGCTGGGGGGCGCAAAACAGAAAATTGTGAGTGAACAAAAAAAAAAGTTCAATTCAAACAAATCAACGTAATATAACCCCACCGTTAAAAAATCATGCAAGAATTCCAAATGCATCTTAAAATCGTCATAAGCAAGTATATAAACATATACTAAAATAAATACCGGATACCAAGTTCGAAATCTGTGAACACTTCACAAACCCACCATTCAAAACTTAAAAGTCCCGAAATATTAAACTCTCGAAAACGTCCCACTGGCACGACCGGCGAGGAAGTATCCTTACTGAGAAACAAAAACGAATGAATGTTCATATATATAAATATATATATATATATACATAATAATCATATATAATATAATAGTAATAATATATATATATACATATATATATATAACCAACATTTAGTTGTACTAGGGAAACAATCCAACCGGGGGATTATTTGACTAGTCTACATGGCAGAGACATTCCTCAATTCACCATGTGACTAGGAAACGAGCCGTCCAACTGGGGGGCTAACTCTCAGCCAGCACGTACAGCCGAGATACTCAAAGCTTGTACGCTTGAAAAACCAGTCCTACACGCACAGACTACCCCAAATCCAGGGTCTACAGCAATATCCCATCAAGGATGTCCCGAGTTCCGACAATTCCAAGTATCTCAAGTATCAGTAACCAAGTTCCAAATCTGGGGAGGTATATAGGGTAGTACTTTAAGCACTCCAAACAGATATTTCAATACTCAACCCTTTCCACAAACTCATTTCAAATATATCAAAACCCAAAATGCCAATACTTCATAAAAATATCAATTTCCACCATTGAAGAAATAATATATCCATATATACCAATAAACATTATGCATAAATTTTCCCATCATAAAACCATGCACATTAATTAAAAACAAAGTCCATTCATAAGTAGTCCCACACTGCTTGACCTTGAGAGGGTCCCATCATAAAACCATGCACATTAATAAACATTATGCTTGGTCGGAGTACCTATTTCAGAATACGAACACGCGATTAACATCAAGCGCTTCGAAACAAAATTTTGAATTAAAAACTTAGTTTCCCGGGTTTCTAGTGAGTGTACGCGGAAAGAGACGTTCTAAGGTCTAACTACCCAAACCGGACGATAGAAAAGCCTCGGGAGACATTTGGTCAACTGGGCGGTCAAACTTCTCAAATCAGTTCAACCAGGGCCCACGGGACCCACGACCTCTGTTTTTCAATCCGGGAGTTCCTAAAGGTTTTACAAGGTCTAGGATGCACGTCCTGCAAGTTTGGTCCGAAACGGACGGTTAGATTACTTATGATTGCACGATCGGACGGTTCTCGTAAAACGTAAACTTTAAGTTATTGAATCGGAACATCCGGGGCTCCGATTCACGATCCGCGAATTCCTACACGATCCTAGGAAGTTCTAAAGCAACATACTTCAATTTGGAAACGATCCAACCGTCAGCACCTATCGAACTAGGATAACGCACAATATGCAAAAATCGGTTCGATAGTCAAACGACCTCCGAATCGAGATCTGCGAAATCCTACACGCTCGTGACATTCTAAGGATCTCATCAGGACATTTAGCAGCTCCACCACCCTTGCCCACGCGCGGCCACACGCTCCAACAGCGCGTGGGTGTGCAGCGTAATTTTCGGCGACGGAAAATCTCCACACCAACGCTCACCCTTCCTACCCTAGCTTCTTCTCGACGAGTGAAGCATTCTTTTCAACTACGGCCAAGCCCAAATCGGACGAGAACTGGCCGGAATTTCAAATTGAAAATTGGCCAAAACCTAGCTTCTCAAACCGGATTCTAAACAGCAAATTGAACAAGTCCTATGCAACAGCCAGCTAGAACACGTAAAAAGAGAGAGAAACCCCACCAATTTTACCTGAAATGGCCGGCAGAGATGGCGGCGCAAAGTCAGAATTTGTAAGATTTGAACCAGTCAAAACTGCCGGCGGTTCTCGAGCTTTCCGGTCGGGATTTCGGGTGGTTCAGGATCTGGACTTCACTACGATTCGAACGGGACCGGGCTCGAAGGCTAGGGTGGTTGGATGTGGTGGCGGGGTGGCTGTTTCCGTTCGGGTGAACAGTGACTGGGGAGAGAGTTCGCGAGAGAGAGAGAAGACTCACGGGAGAGAGAGAGAGAGAGAGAGAGAGAGAGAGAGAGAAGGTGAGGTGAAATTGATATCTGATTTTTACCAATACCCTTTTCGAATTATTTACGATTTTACCACCGAAAATAATTTGATCGCCAAAACTTCGTTATAACTCCGATTCAAGCCTACCGCCTGTCTACAAATTCATCTCAGAGCCACCTACGCAACCAAACCACCCGTGGCCCAAAAATCCTTCGAATAAGGAAATGACCGAATGACCCTCACCTTATGGGCAATTCCGTAAATTCACTTAATTAAATTAAAATAGGGAATGATTTGGAGTCGGGGTGTTACACCGATTCCTTTAGCCCAAATATATGGGTAAGCATGAGAGAAAACCCAATAGTCCATCATTTTAGGAAGCTGGCCCATTCCCTTAGTAAACTAACCCATCACCCTAGGAAGGCCTAAATGACCAAGAAAATATATGAAAGTCTTCAGCACATGGCTGGAGACAAAACCATGACAAAAGCCAAAAGCCACTCACGTCTGCAAGCTACTAGGAATCTCCAGCACATGGCCAAAGACAAATACCAACACAAGCCATCAAAAAACCAAAAGATACTTGAGCAAAACACCCTTCAAACCAGCGGTCTTACCCATTTCTTTCTCCCACTAGCTCTTGCCATGAAAAAGGGAAGGAAAAAAGGTGAGGAGGTAGCCAAAAATGGGAGTTCATTATTGAAGCAGTTGCGGGAAAGCCTTAGAGCTCCCAAAAATCTTGTCTTTGTGTGTTTGGACATAAGAAGATTTCATAAAATAGGATGAGTCAAAGGGAGAGAAGAGAAATGAAAGGGGAGACCTGGCAAAATTGGAGAGAACTAACTAGGGTTTTCTTGGGAAGAATGAGCTTCCAGTGCCTATAAAAGGGAGGCACCTTCTTCCTACGAAAACAACTCACAAAAAGGCAAGCAACCTCATCCAGAAAAATCAAGCATCACCTCTCATCCTTGGAACCCTTCAAATTCGAGCCATATTCCTCCATCTCTTCTTGTTTTCTCTTCTGGTAAGCCATTCCAAAGTCTGACCAAGCTTTTGTCAAGCTGCCGGAAAATTGCTCAAACCACCCACTTCTCTTCTGTCTCTCTTTCTCTCTCTCTCTCTCTCTCTCTCTCTCCCCTCAATGAATCCCATTAAAATCCCTTCCCCCTTGCTTTAAACCTCTGTTTCTCATAGTAAATCACAGCTCTTTCTCTCTCTCATGCTAAACTCATGAATGCTCAGCTTTCATGCCAAGAATTTATCTATAAGAGACTGTTGGTTTCATTAGTGAAGAAGACCAATGTGTTTCCTAAGGCTTAGCTACCCTTTCGAAACACTCTTGGGGTCTGATCCTTGAACTCAGACTCAAGGGGCAATTTCATACATTTGGCTCTTTACAGCAGTTGCCGGAATGAAAAAGCCTCTACAATAAGTTCTGAGAAATCAATAGTTACCAATGTATTGAAAATCCTTACCTTTTTTCTGTTTTCTTTGCACCCTTAACAAGTTAGATTATTGTTCTTATTTTATGTTAAATTCTTTAAACTTTGTACTCATTTGGGATTGCTTCAATAAGAAGCAATTGTACTGCGACGAAAAAAAAAAATGGTGTGATGCCGCATAGGGCTTAGGCTAGGTTTGGGCTGGGCTTTTAGGGCTTA